GCAAACTTTGACAAGAAGAAGAACAACTGTAAGCTGTCCGATGAAAAAAAAACTGTGAGAGATATTCATGCATTCCGTAGGCGTGCCCATCGAATTGTCATTCTTCGGCTTAATTTCGGGCTATGAACTGAGCTATGGATCCAAGAACCACACAATCAAACGATTTTAGTTCGAGAACTTTCGTGCATAAACCTTCAATAATTTTGCTTCATACTTAGTTAGACTGTTCAGCGCCATTTCTGTCATGGATGCACATATCAAATGTGACGCTTATATATGTGCGTGTGTGTTATGTACAGATATTAATACTAAATCAAGGTAACAGACGGTGGAAGGAATTTTGGTCACGTGAAACTAGAGAATAGAACACCTGGATTTATCGCGCACCTCTTACTGTGAACTGAACCCCGAAGAGAAACCCTCACATAGGATTCAGTTACCTGGAGAATCATTGCAAATTGAAGATTTCTATTCAGTGGGATATAAACTACCCAAATCCATCAAAACTGGTTTTCCTTATCACGTTTTACTGAACACTCAAGCCACGACCGAGGTACAATTGTGTATGGACTCAGAAATGGAGTCATCTCTTTGCCGGTTATTTTTCTATCAATCTGCCTGTCTGTCTGTCTGTTTGTCTATACTTTACCATATGTATGTATACGGATCGTGTATAGCACTGCTAAACTTCGAATTTTGGCTGATAAGCCAGATGAACATGCTTGAGAACACCGCAAACGTATTTGAGTGCCAGTGATGGTCAACTGTCTCCGCTAATTACCGTCAGGCCAAAATATAAACTGAGCGGCTATCACTGAAGACGATAAATGAACAAGCATACATTGGTAATTCCGGTGTGAGATGGTTGACTTAGTGGTTACGACTTCTATGCTATTGACCCTCGGAGTCCGGATGGGACTTTCGATATGCACTTTGTATGAGCTTTACTGAGAGGAACACTGGAGTCTGATGGGTCCCGAGTTTAGGAGCTCATTGAATGAAGCGAGGATTTCGCATGATGACTGGTGTCTGAAGAATGGTCACTTCAGATCAGGTTTACATACTGTTCCCATTTTTGTCGGGAACTTTAGTGAATATGTTGTTATTTACTCGGACGGGACCGTCTTAGTATAATTTATTTCAGTCTAAGTATACTGGATGAGGACTGCAGTGCAAGCTTGCCTATGCATAACAGCGAATCTCGAATCAGCAGTAAAAACAGATTACGTCTGCTGGTTTGTATCAACTCAGTAGTGTAACTGTGCTACGTCCTAGTTAGAAAACCTGGAGGTAAGTTACCTCATAAATTGTTTGTCTTCCCGCCTCAGTGTCCAGCGTGTTGTCAACTCCGAATTCCGGAATGACAGATCAATGCTGATATGTATTGCTAACCCCTCTGAGTCATTCGTGTTGACGTATCCGGCAATCCAGCGCGCGCACACACACAAGCATTTTCTCTCTCCCTCCCTCGTGAAAAATGGGAGCTTTTTGACAATCTGTTTCATCGCTCTTTGTGTTCTCACGTGGTCCAACGGTTGACAAACAATCAGATTAATACCGCTTCCATCAAGTATGTCATTGANACTCCCACCCGCACCCCTACTCGTTCACGAATGACATCAATTCTCGAATACTCCTGGATTTATGATGACAAGAGTTGACCGAACCAGAGAAGTTGATAGTTTATTTTTTTTAATATAACACTTATTTCACGCGTTAATCCTTGCTTGTCCCACCCGTTTGTTGACTTATACCGTTTTATCGTATCAAGACCGAACGAATACATATGTCTCGAGATGTTAACCTTTCGTTTAATCTGCTCAGTCGCTGACGTAAAACGAAACAAGCACATTTATGAAGTACATTATATACCATTTTTTTTGTTTTTTTGCTTCGCTCATGAAAACACTCAGACGACGCGGACGACAGTCACCTCGTCTGTATCGGATGCAGTTACAGATCGCCTGAAACGTAGTCCGGTTGGACAACGGTCCACGGAAAAAGACTCGTTGATGTCCGGTGAACGTCGCACACAAACCGGAATGGATGCATCATTTGGTAAGAATTTAATCGGTTGAATAAGACGACATGGAGTCTGGGAAAAGCAACAGAACTATTGGTATTTTACACCTGAATATTATTGCCATTAATGTCAGTGTAATTATTATATTTTACACTCATCTAGTTTCAGAATGTTAGAGAAATAAATTTTAGTGCAAACCTGTTCCCGGAATAGGAATGAATCTTAATATAACAAAAGAGCATAGTTACGCGGTCTAGAGCAAATGATTTCCCCTCAGTAATCAAAAGCGTGAGCCGCAAGGCAATGGTGGGCATTGGTATCCAGACACTACAGTCCTTGGAAAACCGATTTTCCATCACACACACACACACAAATCTAGCATCAATGAGAAGTGATTCATACGTCAGCAATGTTATCCGATCATCGTGGTCATACTAACTCGAATTTGGTCGTTAAGCTTCCTCTTCTGAGGTTTTAAAATCACGATTTTTCCCCTATTCGGGTTGAGCTTTCTGCTCACGGCCTAATGATCCGATTATGGTCTCAACTGTTGCTATTCCTTTCGCTTTAGTTCACCGGAAATCAGCATAGAGAATTTAATCATCAGATAGTTTGAGATGCGCACACTGTGAGAGCAACAGAGAAGCCTCTTTCAATGAAAGGTCGAATGAGTTGGAGTTTCGACGAACGATCCGTGGGGAACAGAACCAAATGATTACGAATAATTTTACTGAACCCATAATTTTCTTTTGATGTGGATATTTTGTCTGTGCAAACCAAACTGTACATCACGAATGCGCTCATGCTGAAAAGAAACCTTAACTCTATCTGTATGGAGTTGTTTTTCACTATCCAAAACAAACATGTGAACAAATTTTCAGTTTAATTTTGATCATAATTTGCTGGGATCATAATCACAGAATCTAAGAGATGTTATGCAATATGTGATAACTTTTGTCTCTCACGCTCAGGTGTACCACCAGAGAATCCAATCTATCTCGATTCCGATTCCGATTCACTCGAGATTGTCGCGAGTCAAACAAAAGCCAAGCATAAACCAGAATTGTCAACCACCGTCATCAGTGGTAGTACTACTACTGCGAGTATGACCACTGCCGGAACCGCAAGCACTTCAATCACCGCAACAATCGTCTCAAGTACACCCGGAACACATGCACCGGTCACAACTATGACCAGTCCGGTGAGTGTCGCGGTTTCCGACTATAAAGCCCCGGAAATCGATACGGGTAACTTATCGTCTGATCTGATCAGTGCTACTGATGGTCTTGCGGAAGACGAGCAGCTAGGCAGTGGCGATCGTGCAGACGAAGAAGCACTTGGTTACACTCAGTCACCTCGCTCTCATTCCCCATCGTTACCGCTCTCCTTCCCGTTGTCGGAGTTTGATGGTTCAGAAGCATCAATTGTTTCATCGGACGCAAGCTCTTTGGCTTCAGACGGTTCCTACTACTCTAATCGTTCGAGTGAATGCGACTGTTTCAATAGTGGCTCTTTCAGTTCAGCCACTTCATGCTCTTGTTGTCATGAGCATCGGAGTCGTGGACACCGTAGTGCTCATCGTTATCATGGTCGTTATCATCCTGTGCATCACCACGGTCACCATCCGCATCATCGGCATCGCCATCATCATTCCGATCGTCGTTATTACTCTTCCGTCTCTCGGAGTCTTTGTCACTGTCATCGTTGTGTTGCCGCTGGTGCGACTGAAACTGGTCCCACAGAACACGGGCATTATCGTCGGCATCAGTCTGACCATCGTGACAGTCGTCGACATCAACGTCATGCGTCGCATTCCCAAAGACACGGCCCGCGGCCACATTCTGAAAGACCTCATCACGTTAGTTCTCGACATAGCTATTCGCATCGATCAGTAACGAGCTCACAACACGATCAACGACGTCGTCGTCACCGAGCAGGTGAGGGGCGTCATCATCACCGCGGATATCGTGATGCAAGCTGGTCACGTTCCAGTTCCAGTGGAGATTCATTCAGTGGTGGTCGATACTCAGACTATTCCAACAGTGAGGACTCCTTTGATTTTGGTTCCAGTCCAGGTGAATCACCATCGGGGCCTGTGGACGAGGCACACGAAGCTATGTTAAATCAACTGAAACAACAAGAACGGAAATTACGCAATGAATTGGCTAAACACCGGGCTTTGGCAAATCAACTGAAAGAAGCACAGAAGAGGACTCACAAATTGTTACAGATGGAACAGCTAGGCACTGAAGAATCAACCAAACCGGTAGCACCCTCTAGTAAAGAAGATAAAGAGCGTGCGAAAGCCGCAGTGGAACGTTTAGAAGCAGAACACCCGAAGGAAGAAGAACATAAAACAGGCGCGACGCGACGGAGAACGTCACGACGGCGTCCCAAACCGGGAGACAGTGCTAAGGGAGAATCGAATATTGCAGAAACCCCATCCACTTCACGTTCTTCTGACCGTGTGCGCCCCGTGAGAAAAACATCTGCTGGTAGACGGAAGAAGTGAGTCACTGGGTTTGGTTTTCATTGTTCTTTAGTGGAACCAACTGTTCGTTTGTTTTACAAATTACTTGATTGTTTTCATTCTGGAACACCACAACGATAGTTTCAAACAGGTCTGATTACACGCACACATACTGCGAGATGAAATTATCTCACCGATGGGTCAAGTTAATAAAAACCGACTGTGACGAATCCCCGATGAAATCAACAGAGCTTTTTACACCAAGTGAAATATTCAAACACCTTCTGCGCTTGGCTGTCAGCACATTCTACTGAATCTACACCAGCGCCTTTCGATTACGGCCAGCTTGAGTCATCGGAGCAGTGAGCAGCAATTCATGATAGGGTGATGCGCTTTATCTTGAACGTTATCAGTTTCATTTTTTACAACCCCGTACACTTTCGTTCGCTGGTTTTGGTTGCTGTCTTTTGGCCAGCCATTTCGATAAAAGAGCAAAATGAAGATTGGATAGTTCACAGCCAATTCAAGCGGAACAGAGAAAATTCATATAGACTAGGGTTTTAGGAATATTGAATAGATGCACGAGCGCCACTGTTTGCGACGCCCACCCATATCACTCAGCGTCTCTAACCACCGATTACCATGACCTCGGAGTACCTGGGAGCTTAACGGGACCTATATAACCCATTTTCCTGGTTAGGGTTTTCAAACCCTCACACCAGGTCACAGTTAGACCTCCTTTGACATTTTTTCATCCGCTACCTTACTCATCAGACATCGCTCGCCTTGGGAACCTAGTTGGGGGCATGCTCAGCACATGCCCTAATCACCGTCACCTATGGAGATCGACCACTTGCTTCAGTGGATTACCTTGATTACCTAAAACTCGACGCCTAATCTCAGCATTGCTCGTCCGGTTTCCCCACCAGACTCGTGCAATGCGGCGTAGGTAGTGATGTTCGAACAGCGACAATCTATTTTTCTGCTGTTCCTGTAGTGGCCAAGTCTATGCACCGTACAGTAGCACTGGCCGAACTGTAGCAGCATACACTTGACCTTTCACAGACAGCTGGAAATCGTTGAGGCACCACAGGTGTCTAAAGTTGCCAAATACACACCCAAGCATTCTGTGTGCAATCTGACACTTCATCAGTGATGCGTCCACAATGATAGATATAGCTGTTCAAATGGCGAAATTTATCTAACTTCTCTACTAATTGCCCAGGCAAGATGAGGTTGGGAGCTGAACCAACCCAATATTGTAGTAACATTTTACACTTTCAAAGTACAAAACGCATACCGAACATGGCTACGCTGGGACTCAAACTATCCAAAAAAGCTTGCAACTTACCTGGATGTTCACTTAGTAACACAATGTCGTCTGCATACTCAAGATCAGACAGTCTGCCACCTGTGAACAAATCAATGCAGCTCTCTTTGCACGAGGACAGGGCTGTTTCCATAACTAAATCTCTGACAAAGTTAAATAGAAAAGGAGAGAGAGAGCGGTCCTGACGAACATCGCTTTCTGTGATGAACTCGAGCGAAAAATGTCGCACGCTCGGACGGCTTTGGCTACTAGTGCAAGGGTCCGTAATATTGAAATGAACTTCTCGATACACCCTTCAGAGCAAGGTAGCACCAGAGTGTAGAACGTTCTGCTGAGTCGAAGCTGCTTTCAGACCGAGGAACATAGGAACACATGGTGGGTCTACGAAACAACCTCGATCAGGTCTAAAAATGGCCTGTTTCTCACGTATGCACCGCTCATATTGTAGTGATAGTATTTGCTGCAACAGTTCGAGCCAGAGCAGTACTCTATCAAGTAGTTGTCTGTGAACTGGTCTTCTTGTGGCTCACACTGTTATTTGTTGTGCACCTGTTTGATCATCATTCTAGCGTTCCTCCTTGATTGAACAATCGTTCCACAATGTTTATCGATTTCGGTTTCTCGACTGGATGAGCTTCTCGAACAGAGCCGTTCAAACTAGTGGTCTCAAAATGTCGATTGCAATACCGATGTCAGTCATTCGCAGTCAGAGTGTGTTCGAGCTGGAACTCTCTCCCACCCCTCGTCGTCTGTGCGCCAAACATTGAATCTTTGAAAGTTAGACCTGATGAAGCGTTAGCATACTTTGCATTCCAATAAAAATGAAGCTGCCTGTAGCAGCGGAAGAATCACGTATCATGTGACATTTTTACACAAGGAATTGTGTGTATCATTGTCTTTTAAGCGCAACACGAACCTTTGGGACAAGAAAAGCACGATCTTGTAAGTGGTTTCCTTTGTAAAACTTTGAAATGATCAGGAGTGCTTTTTTGTCGTTGTTACTACTTTTGCGTCGTTCATTCTGACGTAGTTGTTCACCCGTCTCACGGCATTGGTAACAGTCAAGGAACGCAGTTGCGTGCACCATCTCTGATTCATTTTTCATTCTCGGAGGTCCTTGCCGTTGAACAACATTGGTCGTATACGTAATCTGAAACATTGAAAAATATTGTTCACTTCGGGTGTGTTAAAATGTAGCGGCAGAGAACAGTGCTATGTAAGGGGCTTTTTCAACCACGTGATCGTATTAGAGCATTTTACTGCCCAAGGCATGTGTCTTCGGTAACAATCCGGAGGCATGCGGCAATCAAACTTACCAGGTATGAGCGGATGCCACGATTTGGATTAAAAGTGACTGCGTTAGTGATCATCTCTGCTGAATAAAGCGAGGTTCATCGATTGATTTAGTTTGCGCCGGATAAAAAAACGCCTTACGTGACATTTTGGCACTGACTAGCCCCGAAAGGTCGAATATTGTCACACCAAAACAAATCGAATTTAAGGAAATATAAATTTTTCGAAGTCATCAAACGGTGTGTTCAGTATCGGTTTTTACAACCATTACCGACCCACTTTCGAGCGCCGGTTTTTGTTGCCCATTTGGATAAAAAAGCAGAAGTAAGATTAGAATATTGAGAGCAAATTCAAGCGGAAGATAGCGAATTTATATGAACTGAAGTTACAAGAACAATGAGTAGATGCACGAGCGCCACTGTTTGCAACACCCAGCCATATCACTCAGTGTCTCTAACCATCGGTGACCATGATCTCGGGTTTCCCAGCCAGGAAGCATAATAGGACCTGTGTGACCTAGTCTCCCAGTGAGGGTTTTCATGCCCTCATGCCCGGTTTTATTTTGACCTCCCTTGATCTTTTTCCAACCGCCACCTGCCTCGGGAAACAGCACTTGCCGTGGCAACCTATCTGATGACACGCGTAGCACGTGTCACGACCAACGTGTATAAGGAATACTTGAAAGCTCTATCCGAAAATGTCCGTGTCAATTTGAACTGAAACATATCGAATGACTCTTCAGATGTTCCAATGTTGTATAAACCGATGCCGGGACAGTGCGACAACTTTGGATATTGCATTCGTGATCCTATCAACCGAGATATGCAAATTGTGAACAATATTATAGAACACTAGATTTACTGTCCGCGGTATTGGTACGACTTGTAATTTCAACCCGGCCGCTGTCCTTGAATTGTTAAATCTACTTTGCAATTGAGAATGGCTAACATCTACCCAGTGACTTTTCTTGGTTCACGATGAATTCCTCAGTAACACAAACTGTATTCCTGTACAAATCATCCGCGGAAGCGTTATTACCCCTGCATGAAATCGATCATTTTTCACACGACACAACTGGTTTAAATGCACCCGTTATCTACTCGTTTTCAACAACCCGCCCTGGTCAATTTGCAAATCTCTTCTGTTAGATTATTTTGGAACCTCCCTGAATGGAAAATTCATCAAATACCAATGACGAAGTTCGTTATATAGTAGGGGCCTCAAAAATGCACCAGATATTTTCGAGTATTCGAAGAGTGTGATGTTTTAATACGTCTTTTTCAACGAGAATGACGTTCCGACTTAGACGTGTAATTGTGATAAAACACTGTGATTCCGTTTGATTTCAGGGAGATCGAACTGAAAGAGAAGCTTGCCAGTAGTAGTAGTGGTACAGCACCGACCAGTAGTACAAATCAGTTGGAAGGGAAACCTGGTGCGACCGCGGCCGCCCGTAAAGAGCACCCGCATCCACGACCGGTGCCGTCCGAATCACAGGCTAGACATCGTCATGCACCCGCCCATCGCCCCACGCACGGGAGTAAACGTGGTATCCAATCGCAACCGAAAGAGAAAGATGAGGTCAGAAGAGAAGCATCAGTTGGTGTTGGTGGCGACGGCGGTGGCGGTGGCGCGTCGATTGCAGACAGTGGACCGGAAAAAGGCAAACCGGAAAAATTGGACGACCGGAAAGTAGATGGTAAGTGATTGATGATAACAGTTTTTACTTGGAGTGTATGAGTCGGTGTTCAATGAGGGGGGGGGGAGGGCGAAAGAGAACGATGGTGAGATCACCGTGCCAAGGATCCGGTTGTGAATGTCCTGAAATTGATCAAATTCTGACGAGACAAGATGATCTCCACTATGGTCTTTGTCCCTTACTGGAAAAACATCAGAAAGGGACACTATAATAAACTGAATGCTTATCGTTCGGTATCCTCACTTGAACTGAACTCTGTTCATTAGAAGTGGATGCATTAATATGGCAAGGATAATAAGCATTGCTCACAAAAGACACCCCTTTTAGTACGCCTTTTCCCATCAAGCTTCGTACGAAACTCATGATTATCGAGTCTTGACCGTGGTAATTAAGTCAACTGTTGCAGCAGTAATAAACCGACGATAGCAATCGGGGTGAGGCATCGGAACGTTAAGCATTCACTTTTTATGGTATCAACTTTTGATGTATTTCAGAGCTGGAGAATACAAAGCAATATTCCATTTTTTACATTTGAGATTTTTACTCACAGGAATATCACATATTATATGGAAATGCTGAAGCTGTACGAAATGTATCAAATGGTCTAACGATATGAACACATTGTTTAAACCTTCTCCAGACAATATATGGCGCGGTAATTGATACAATTACGACGGTCAACTGCACTGCATACGACCGCCACACTTTCTATTAACCAAGCTTCGCAATATCAATATTGGCAGAAAATATTTCTTTTTAACATTCAGAATATTCCGATACTTTTAGATCTGACTCAGAGGCATGAGTAATGTTCGTGCGTCGAGACTAATGGAATCCGAGTCGTGGCTAAAGCACTACGGGATTTGGCGAAACGGAATGGAGGTCAGGACTAAAGGTTTGTGGGTCGAGGCTAAAAGACTGCTCTAGCTCTTTCAACTCGGTGAGGTTTTATCAGCGGTGTGAAACTATCGATCGACCGAATTAAGGGTGACGAATCTTGGGGTCCTCACACAGGCAGAAAACAATCGCACTTGACCAATAGGCAGATCGCATTTTATTTTGTCTGTATGTGATGAAAACTCTTTTTCGGGGTTTGCCGTGGATATCACAGCTCGTTCATCTCAACTGTAGTAACCATTCCGAACTTGACTACTTATTACATGACAGTAGTAGAGAATTTGGTTCGATTATGGGGTAAATTTCACGTGTGAATATCGCAGTTTAGTGGCTGAAGTCTTAATGCTATGTGGTATTCTACAGTGAACTAACTCGCGGTCGTTATCAAATGTAATTGAATTTTAGAAAAACCTTGATGATTTAAACGGAGAAAAATTTGACTCACCACGAAATAGTTAGTGTTGCTACTTGAACACGGGCGCTTCAAAATAAGGTCCTTCAAGCGGTATGGTTTTTGGTATACACTGTTATTTGGAGTAGAGCAATAAGGCAAATCTTAGTCACAGTGGCCCAACAGAATCTTTGACAATCAACTTATCTGGGGAACCCTTCTGTCCCGTTTAAAAAGTTTCCACGATTAACTTCTTGTTATATATTATATTGCATACCCGTCATAGGCCAGACTGTGTACCAATGCAACGATTAGGACATAGAAAAAATAATCGATCGGTATTTGGCAGTCGTGAAAATAACACGCGGTTCGACATTCCTTGTCTCGTTTGTTTTTCTCTTTCGGGTCTTTAGAAGCAGTAACAATAATTTTTCAACCCTAAGCACACCCGTATTCACTCCTTCACCTGTCTTTAGATTGTTGTTATCAGTCCTCATCCTCCATAGTGTCTTTCTCTCCACACCGGTTTACTTAACTTTCTTCCTTATTTTAATCAGATGTCCTTAATACTTCTTCTTTACGCACCATCCACAGTTCCCACAGTCAACCGTAAAATCAGGAAGCAATGGGTTCCAGTTGTGCAACGTACGGTCAGAGTCCGTCCGTGATTCATATAAGCCGTGATTTGTAAACCACAACTCCCTGATTGGTTCTCTTTAGTCCACCCTTAGAGTACACTGACCACATTGCACATGTGCGCTACGATGAACGGTACCTCAAGTCTTGACTTATTTGCCTGATGGCGTGTCGAACTCTCTCTCTCCCTCAATGGCACGTTCGGCTCGTGGTTGTTTACTTTGCATACCCCGTGGAAAATGCACTGATTTATGGTGTGTTGTTGAAGCACATTGTGACGTTGGATTTTGTGAGTAGTGTATTCGTATTCACCATTGATTTGGTGGAAAGCAAAACCTCGTGGTAATATCGGACTTGATTTCCGACTCTCTACCCCGGTAATGTAACGCTGGCTTATATAACCGTACATTAGACTTCAGACGTTTGTAGATGGACCGACCCAGAGAGGAGAAAACTCAGCAACAGCGAAAGAAATGGTCCACAACAGCGCAGAGCTGTTCAGCAGGTTGTGGATCTTTCATCACACTCTTTTCTACCGTGCAGTTGCAATCTGTGAAGTTGGAAAGAAATTTGATGGTACTGAAATTCATTCCGTGAGTAGGGTATTGTGAAATCCTGTTAGGATTAGAGATAAAATTGAGTAAAAACAGAATAAATTTTCAGTAAGAGGCAATTCGAAACTCACTGTCTAGTTTCCCAACTGTTCTTATGCTATCCTTTGCTTGGCGTGAGTTGAAACTACAAAAGGGTGAAATGCACAACAATATTACCAATAATAATAATAATAATAAATGTCTGCTTTTATTTCAATACTTCCCTAGTCCTTTTTCAATAATTCTAGGAATCGCGCTACTGATTAATCCCTGGGTGCCGGATCAGTGTTCTGCAAAGATCAAATGTCCATAATTAGTCATTATGGAAATACCCCCATTTCTATTCTAAAATACGAGCAGGATAAACTAACAGATTATGAATATATTGTCGTCTTCTTGGTCCTAGAAATCTGTGTCGAGGGAGCAATGCGAAAAGTCACAGAACACTGTGAGTTAGTTTATTCTACAAAACCGGCACAGCTTGTTGTGTGTCCCGGCAATCATTGAAAACCTCCACTGTTCTATCGTGACATTGGGCATACCAGAAAAGCCTAGGTTGTATTCCATTTAGTGTATTCGCCAAGCTTGGCCATTTGTTTGCAAAAGTTTCATCACCAGCCCAGGTGACATCATCATTAAGTGCTTGTGAAGTGGCAGTGTTCTGCCTGTACCCGTTCGTTTATATATGTGTTCTTCTCCACCGACCGGTTTTGTCCCTTGTTCCCACTGTGTTTCATTCGGTTCGCCGTTGAACTATAGTGCGGTGGGGTTGAGGGTGGGACGGATAGAGGTTGTCCTTCTGTCCTGATTGCGGTTTCCGTCCGTTCTCAGGTCACGTAGATATGAAGAGGTACGGAAAGAGCAGATGAAAATGGAGAACACGGAGAACGAATGTATAAATGAAGGAAATTTTTTATAGTTTCACCGTAAACTTTTTGAAGATTTTTTTTGTGTTATGGGGAACTGGGTTTCACCAAACAAATCGCACAGCAATCGCGCCGCTGACATCTATTCCGAGCCATATCTCCCAGCGTCTCTAGCCATCGGCAATCCTCATCCCTTGGGCGCCAGCCTGGGAGGCGAGCTGCACCAACCGAAGCCAGCTTGTTTATGCCTCTACACCGTATCATGGTCTGACCGCCGCGAAGCTTCTTCCAACCTTGCCCGACACGTGCAAAGAGATCATGGTGATGTAGTCGATGGGCAGGCATACGCAAAACATGACCGAGCCATCGGAGTCGGTATAGAACGATTTCTTCCGTTAGAGAAGGACTATCAATATCCAGCACACGACGACGAATTTCGTCATTGCTCACACGGTGTTCCCACCAGACACGAGCAATGCACCTACGGCATCAGTGGTTGAATACCGAAATTCGAATAAAATCCTCCGCTTGGAGAGGCTAGGTCTCGCAGCCGTAAAGCAGAACACTACGGAGCGCGGCGATGTACACCTTTCTCTTAAGGGACAGTCGGATGTCACGGCGGCGTCACATGTGTCGTAGGTTGGTGAAAGGTGCTCTAGCTTTCGCTATTCGTGATGTGATCTCTTCCCCAACCCCAACTCCAGCTGTGATTAAGCTCCCGAAGTAATTAAAGCTCTCGACCGTTTCCAGCTGATCACCACAGCGGGTGAGTGCAGGCACTGGCTCCTGCCAGTCTTGAACCAGCACTTTGCACTTTGATGGTGCAGAGCTTACTATACTATACTATACTTACTATACTTGGATACCTCTATCGTCAAGTGATGCCAAGCTTGTTGGACTGCCTATGCATTGTCACCCAACAAGGCGATGTTATCGGCATATTCTAAGTCAAGAACTCTGTTCCCTGGGAGGAGTTCAATTCCCCCCTTCTGCTAGACCGGACAAATCGTCCTACAGAACATCCTCTATGGCGAAGTTGAAAAGGAATGGGGATATAGAGCAACCTTGTCGAAATCCACTGGAGACGGCGAAGGGTGGTGAAAGCTACCCATAGGGCCTAACCCAACCTGAGGTATGACGATACAACTCTTTGAGGATCTAGACACTTCTCAGGTACTCCATTCTTCAACAGACAGCTCCACAGGGCGGCCCTATCAACAGAATCGAAGGCCACGCAAATGTCTAAGAACGCAATGATTGTTCGTCTATGGTATGCATGACGGTGCTCAAGCAGCTGTCGGAGGGAGGACGATTTGATCGATGCAGCCACTACCAGCACGAAGCCTAGCCCGCTCCTCGCGGCTTGTTCCTCACACGTTTTATACAATCTACGAAGAATGACGGACACTAACAGCTTCGACGCTATTGGGATCAGGCTTATACTCCTATAATTGGCGCAGTCATTGCGCGGGCTCTTTTTAAAGACGGGGACATATATTGACTCCTNCCCCCCCCCCCACGAGGAGGGGACCTGCTCAGTGTTGCATCCTTTAATCTAAAAGCATTAAATAGAGCTGCGGGAAGGCCATCGGTGCCCGGCGCTTTGTGACACCCCAA